ATAATTCCTTGAAAATAAGTCGCTTGTATCATATGTCTGAGGAAAAAATATGATAACATTGAGAGTTATTTATATAGATAAAAACACTTTAATGAGAACAAACAATATAAATTTTCCATATCGTGACGTCATATACACGTGAGTTGCATCAGTAAGTGTACTGCTACATCTTATCATTTTATTTTTTTGTAAAGACAAAAAAAGAAACATGAAATAACTAAAATATAACAAATATAAAATATTTTGTTATTAATATTAAATATCTTTAATAACGTAGAAACTTTTCTCCTTACTTGTAAGAAGAAATGTATCTACACAGATATAAATTTTTTTATATAATGTGTAGATATACTATATATATGTGTGTATTCGTGTGTGTGCGTGTAATATTGTTCGTATCTTTTCCAATGACTTAGCATATGATAGATTATTAATATTACTTATTAGCATTACGAAAGAACAGCTCAAGTCAACAACGAAGGTCACAATATTTGGTACTTGATAATAAGCATTGTCACAATATTTGGTACTTGATAATAAGCAATGATTAAAGATTATTCACTACATGACATGTGATTCATATATTTTATATATGAATCAAAAAGCATAGGCATTCTAAATGTTGCTCTTTACACAAAAAGTATACAAAGAAAATATTATAGTAAAAATGCAATTTTTGTAACATACGAACACATGCACAAGAAAAATCACAATATTTCTATTGAATAATATTAATGTTTTACATTTTACAAAGGATTATTATAATTAGAATATTTTGGTGCATAAAATAAATGCATAATCGTTGAATTTATATTTTTTATAATAATATGTAGTAAATACTCTAATATAGTTATTTTCCAATTATATAGTAAATACTGCAAGAGAATGTATTTTTTATGTAATTTGTAAAATTTTCTTCATATTTCTCGGATATTTAATAATTCAAGAGAGAGAAATTATATAAAACTCATGAATCTTTTTATCATTCGCTTGTATAACGTAATTCGAAACTTTGAAAAGTAAAACTAGTAATATTTACTATTGGTAATAGATAATATATTTATTTGGTAATAGATAATATATTTAATTGATAATAGATAATAGATAATAGATAATATATTTATATGATTACATTTATATCTTTGAAATTGTTATAAGAAAGCAATAAGGACATGAAATATATGATTAGTACGTTAAAAATGTAAGAATTTATCATTTTATTTATAATTCTCATTTATATCTTATATTGTTTTCTTATTCAAAAAAGAAAACACTTGTATAATAATGCATGTAAAGTTCTAACATACATATGTATAAGCATGATAATTGCAGCAGAGGTATTTATACTTTAGCTGCTTCGTATTTCGCACGAATAAGACGAAATCGGGTGAAAATACAGAAACAAGATAATCGCGCAATTACTTCCGGCGTTCGTCGCTACAAATCGGCCGGTCGATTTTAATCCGTACGTTCGAGCTGAAAATCGGAGACCCACAGACGGCCGGCGATTTATTTATTGGAGAAAGGGCTCCGGGGCTGGCACCCCTCTCTCTTTCTTTCTCTCGACGCTTCCTCTATCCTAAGCAGGATTCAATTTGGCCACTGCCCACGATTCTACCTTCAAAGAGGAATCACCATTGCCGTCGTATATGGCTGAACGGCCCTCGACATGCGCGGAACTGGTCGGCGGCCTCCAGCATTAATCTTATATCGAACGCTTTATCTCCGCGTTTCGCTTCTTCGTCCCTTCTTCCTGTCTTCCCTAGCCATCGCCCACTCCAGTCTCGACCTCCTCAACTCTTAGACGAGCAGGAATTTTCAATTCTTTCAAGTACCACGAGCAGTTTGCTTGGGGCGTGTTGTTCTTCCGTGCTACTGGCTGGTACCCGGAAGCTGAAATCAGCAAGGTGTCTTAGTTGTTAAAAGAGAGATAGCAATACGTGATTACATAGAAAAATTTCAGACACCGAAAAATGATATTTCTCAATAGAATTTTGGATATCTTCTCTTTGATGTACGTAATTTATGTTTATATTATTAATGCGCATAGTTTCAAAATTGATACATAAGAAATCTATATATCTAATCATTTTATTTTTCGTTAAATTGTCAATATTCTTTACTACGACATTTCCATTTCGATATCCTTGTTTCCGCGACATGCGATTAATCGGGCGCGTGAATGGTAGGACGTGGAAAACGAGCGGCTTCTCGCCGATCTCTCGTCGGGAACGGAGCGAGCCGCTAGCAGGACATTGGCCAGGACGAATAAGTAATGTAGAGGTCCATTATGCCGAAACGGTGAAGGGTCTCCGGTCGGGGTCAGCCAATCCCCCGGAGAGCCGTTAAAGTGAAATACTCCCGAATGCAAGGTGGCTGCCCGTCTCGCTCGCCTTCTTCGGCGACCCCGTCATGGGGTTTACCCCGTCTCTCCTCTCTATCAGCCCCATCTCCAGACGCGGCCTTCCACCCGCTCGGAGCCCCAACCCGCAGAAGTTTGCGTGTAGGTAAATCGTTGTTATCTGGACAGTGATAAACCCGTGAATGGAGTTCGCGCCGGATTCGAACGAAGGACGAGGAGAAATGCGAGGGCTGAAGGGAAATGGTTCGTTGCGAGGTTTATACGGCAGAGTGGTGGAGGGGTAAAAGGGACGAATCGCGAAATGGATGGCTCTGTTTATGCAGACTGGTTTCTATTCGGACGTAGCCGCGCGACCCTCATTGGGCGAGAAAGCAAGAAACGACACTGGGGACGCGTAAATGAGGCCGATGAACATCATGGAGTCTATAGACGGGCAAGAGAGAGACTGATTGTGTCCCTTTATCTTCGAATATGATATTTCGTCAAGAAATGATGTAATTTAAAAAGATTAATTTTATATTTATCCAGTCGACAAAATAGCAATAATTGGACACTGCTTGCATAATTTTTTCTCTTTCCTTTATCTTTTCAAACACGCATAATTACATTTTTCGTAAAGTCGCACGCGATTTTACGTTGAGCTCACCGTTTCTTTAGGTTGCGCTACTTTCACTTGTCTCCATCGGGTTGAACGAAATCGGGCGGCCATGCAAACACCACGAGATTAAAAGGGGGCTTCGTATTGTGGTTCACGTTTTTGCCTCGGGCAAGCCATTCTTATGGAAGTGATATCGAGGTGACGTTTAATATTCTTCAAAAGGTTACAACGCGATTGATAAGTCATTTAATTCGAATTTTATATTATTTCGAAGCATATAATATTACCTAATTTTACAATTATTAATCAAAGAGATCTCAAAATAATACTTAGTAATAGTTAAGTAATAATAAGTAGTTTTATTAATAATAATTCACACTGTCTTATTTTTGTACGTGTGTTTTTTTTACCAACAATTAAGCAGTATGTTAATTTTATTTTTATCGTGACACGTTTTTGTCGCGTATGCATTCTTATTTCGCAATTAAGCTTTCTCGCGATAGAGAAGAAAAATCGAAATGATTCGTATACGTTCTCGAAGCTTGTTCGAGGCGCGGAATACCGGACAATGGTCGATCTAGCGGGGTAGATGGAGGTCAGCGGCCATTCTCTGATGATATTGATTAGCCGACGCCCTTAGTTAGCGCCGGCTACACTTTCTTCAGCCCCACCGTTCTTCTCTCGCCTCCCTTTTTCCTCTCGATAGGAAAAACGTTCTCTCTTTTTCTCACGTAACCACAGACTCCGGTTACTACCCTTACTCTATCTTCGTCGCTCTCCTGCATGCTGTTGAACTCCACGCTGCTCTTCCCCCCTCTGCTCATCCCTATTCTCTTTCCGTTTTCTGGTTACTGTATTTCTGTCTCTGCAACAACGCTGGCTTCACTGGTCGTCGTTAGCAGGCAGATAGAAGAGAACCAAGAGAGAATATTGCACCGGGGGGTGCGAGAAAGTAGAAAGGGGGAGGTAGGGGGGAGCATGGGGAAAAGCTAGCTAAGTATTTCGAGCTAAATCATTCGTCAAGCAAATAATACCGAGTCTGAGTCACGTCTCACGCATGCGGGGGCGATACGGTATTCGCGTGTTCCATAAATCCGAGATCCCGCCACTTACGGGGAGCTTGAAAAGACACGAGATAGACATCCGGGATTTCGCACGCGACAAAATATTAGTAAGACATAATTTATTTGCAAACCATCTCGATATGTAGATCAAAAATCTATATATTTCAACTTAGTGAAAATAATTAATAATATTTATAAATAACTTAAATATTAACATATCGCTTAAATAATAAATAGTAAAGATAATATTTTAAACAGTCTTTTTAATGATTGCTAGATGTAAATGTAAATTTTTCCTAAATAAGGCATATAATTAATAATACGTAAGTTGATAAATCGCTTCTATAACGTAGTCTTCTTGTTTGCTTTGCGATTGTGTTGATAAATGTTTCATGGCGCATTTACAAACTTTAGCGCATTCTATATATCGTTCTTACAAATTTGGGAAGAAAAGGAAGAGCTCGGTATGCCCCCGTGTAATTAGACACTGCAGCCTGGAACAACATCCAGAGCTGGGCATTGTTCCCAGAAATTAAGGGAAACGGGGGAAAACCGGGAAAGCTGGCAAGGATAGGGGATTTAGGGAGGGTCGCTAATTACGACGAGTTTGTTTGGGGGAGAGAAGCCATTTTCTGCACACGCATAGTCTCGTCTGTGTGCGTTATATTAATATACGCGCGGGGCATAGAATTTATCTCGAGAGTCTCTTCTCTTTTGCAATTTGATCTTCCATTCTTGATGAAATAAAATGGCACATACTTTTCTCTCACATTTATGAAAAGTGGTATTTAGTTCATTTTATTACACTTTTTGTTTTATATATATATTTATTTATTTATATATAATTATAATATATTTATAGGAAAATAATATATATTCACACACGATATATAATTATTATTTTAAATTCAATAATCTTACGTGACACATTCTGTTATATTGTATTTATCTAATTTCTGTTCCGATTTCTGCGCAGGTAAAGTCTGGATTGGCGACAATGAGGTCGCGTGGCGGACGGACCAGTCTTTCAAGAGGACATCACCCTTAAATCCCTGTGCCACAACTACTACTACGACGACGACAGGTGGCGGGCCACTGACACATCCCCACCTGTCGCCACCCGTAGCTGCCCCTATTACCACCCCCGATCATAGAAGCCCCAGTAGCATGCACGCGAAGCTCGGCATCTCACCTGGTGAGTAAAAATAATTCCGCGAGGAATACAAATCTCCAATATATTATAATTTTGCGAAAGAATATTTTATGCAATATTCGCAAAATGTATATTTATACGTTACGCTTTTAACGTAACATTTAACGGGAAAATTTCGTAGCGTTTTCTACTTTCATTCGACGTCACGTCTTGAAGAAATAACGAATTCGCACCCTCGCGGCTCATCCGTGAGAAACCTACTTTGTGCTGTCCTTGCCAGCACTCTGACTATCGAGGGTCAGTGGCTTAAAGTAGTTCTTAAAGCGAGGCTCTTTAAATAATACAATAAGCTTGATGTTATTTGCCGGACAATCAAGAGAAAAGGTGAGGGGAAGGGGAAAGAATTCTTTTTACGGAAAAGCTCCTAAAATTGCCTTTCGAAGATGCGCGTACATTTCCCCGACCCTGAACAAGCTTTGACACGAAAATTCACAGCGCTTGTCTTGCTGCATCTTACAACTCACAATATAATGATTACCGGGTATTACTTTGCATGTTAAGATAAGATAAAATTACAAAAAAATCTGGAATTGCATTCGACGTCAAGAAATTACATGGCAGTTTCACACAATATATCGTATTTAAACTACTTGAATTATTACTATATGATTCTATATTTATTTATGACGAAATATTGAGTGATTGTTTAAGTAGGATAATTTAGAATGATTATATCATTATACATTATTAATATTCTTTACCAATTATTTTTAAAATTATTCTTTTCCTCGACGCTCAATAAAATACAGAGAGAAACTAATTGCTTAATATAATATATCGGTACATGTTATGTTAAATTATATTTTTTTAATAATTTCCGGGAAACACATGAGATAAGAACGATAAGAAGATAATGTGGCAAAAGACATTATCTTCTTATCATTTTCAAAAACAAAAGAATAGAAGTACCTATTGCGTTGCGACATCATGACAGCTATCGATTAGAACTTTGTTTCGGAAGTTACTTCGTGAAAGTGAAGGCTGAGAAGTATGGAACGGCGGTTCCTTTCATTTGCCTAAATAAATACAGCTCGGACAACGAGGGGAATCGCGCTGTCCGAAGCTGGCATTATACGATCGGATCCTAGACCTCGAAGAGGAACGCTTCTCGTCTTTTCGAGACAAGCAGGGGAGTTGCAATTTCGCGGGAGGGGGAAGGAAGCACTCGGCGCGGCATGTTTAATGCATCGCTCAACATTTCCATGTCAAACATCGCTTTGACTCGCGGAATTTAAAACCGTCTCGCTGCTGCACGCCCGAGATCGTGTGTGCGAGAGAGCGATGACGGGGAAACTACTCATCTTTATTTACTGGATAACCGCCGCGCTCGACGAGATGCGTTAAGTCCACGACGCGGTCGATAAGGGTCGAAACTTAAAAGCCACGAGGGTGAAACCGGAGACTGAATGAGATTCCAGAAGCGATTTTAGGAGGTAAATGACGTTTCGACCGCGTGTCGGTCTTGACCGAGTGCGTTTCGCAGCGTGATAGAACATTAACATTTTTCTATAATATTAAGATTAGTATTAGGGATTATTTCTTGCATCGTATCATGATAATGATTTTCAGAAAAACAAAAATTCACGTTGATGATGACGAATAAAATACTTAATATTATATATGAGAAAAAATATCTGAATTATATTTAAAGCCGGTAAATTATATTTTGTATTATAATAAAAATTAGAGTTTGAAATCATTAGTCTGTGAAAGTCATGAATCAATATCAATGCTGCTGAAACGTAAAATTTGTTAATTACTTTCTAAAATATTAAATTAAAAAAGCTTATTTTACTGTACAATCAAAGCTAATGAAACAATTTCATTATGACTTACGGTAGTTTAAGAAAACAGTAATTTTTATAGCAAAAGTTAAGTCAGATGATGGCATTAAAATTATACTCGTTTTCATTTATCAATAATCTAATAATTAATGTAATGCATAGAACATATATATTTAAATGTATTTTATTCTTCATCATTTTATATGAAAATAATTCATCAAGAAAAAATCAATTTATCTTTTCTTCAAACGATTCGAAGGGAGACTTAACTTTTGTCGCAAACGCTGTTATCAGCATCGAGCATAGCGTCAACTTTAAGGAAGGAAGGATATTTTCCCGGACATAGGGTCCTACCGAAGCTATTTGCCTCGCAAAGCCGTCCTGGCCTAGCTGCCAAGTGTGTTTATTTGGTATATCAATAAGGACGAAGTGGGCAAGAGCGAGGACGCGGTCCCCCGAGGACCTCGGCCTTACGTGGCGGCGATCGGCAGCGACTCTTTCTGGACAGCTTGATAACATTATGTCGCCTGCGCCGACATATGCACCGGCTAGTTTTTAAAGGACGAGGGCCGAGAGGGCTCTCCCTAAAATATTACAGGCTTGTGAACATACTCTCGTAAAGCACACATGTGTTACAACGACGTGTCTTTCCCTAAAAATGATACGGCAACCCTTAAATATAAGTTTAATACATAATAGGAAAACAATCGATAAAGCATAAATCATTTGCTCGAATGACACCAGCCGATATTAACGCATTTCTCGATTATTTCTCGTTCAATTTCAAATAAACTTTAACGGAATTTCCACCGGAAAATTAATTATGCAGATATTTTTAATGTTAAAAATTAAATTATTGGAAAATCACGATTTATCTTGATATGCGATGCAAATATCGAGAAATGTAGTTAAAATTGAATACACGTAATCCAAAAGAGTATTTACATTCCCGGAAGGTGTGTTAATTATGTCGTATTTTCTTTTTATAAATGATCAGTACTTCATACATTTATGTCTAATATATAAATATACTTTTCACTCGTGCTGTCTTAAAATCACATTTAGATCAGGGATAATAAACATGTTAAGTGTTAATGACATAAATTTGGTAAAAGTACGTTAAGTTTTTTTGTTAACTATAAAAATTGTATATAATATGAAAACGGGAGGAATAGCAGATATCTTAAAGATTAGTTTTTCAAATGATTGTATTCGCGTAACTGCACTTTATTCTCACGTAAATTACAGTCGATTACGGAAGAATTCTTTCTGTCTTGTCGAATGATAAGAAGAAATCGTATTTCTCCCTTGAGACTATCACTTTTCTACATCGAATCGACCTCTTCCCTCCGAAGTATGTAAATTCGACCGACCTCCTGAAATCATTTCACGTCTCTGAATACCGCTCGTGAGAAACGCACTGATGTTTATGAATACAAAAAATTAATTATAAAATCTATAATGTTTTTTTATTTGTTTTATTATTTTTGCGTGAACAATTTACATCTTGCGTAATAAATAAATATTCGTTTGAAAAAATCTGAAAGCTTTACTCGAAATTCTGGTACGGCACATCATTTACTTCGTGTAATTAAAATTTACTCGCGTTACTCACATGGCACGGAAATTAATAGCGTATTTTGAAACACGCCGGCTGCGATTGCGTTTATATTTTCATTTCGCTGGAATATGAAATATCGAACGGTGTCCATATGCGGACCAATAACTAAGAGGCTACGTGTCGCTGGTGTACGAACGCTGCGCCATCCACGTGAGGGTTGGGGACGAGAAAGGGTGGCTTGAAATATTGACTACATAGATTTCGACCATTATTGTCGCGTGTAAAACACGGCGACATTTGGCGTTAAATCGATCAGGGTGTAACTGCGGCGTCGCGCGTTGTTTCTTCTCGCCGGACGAATGAATACGCCGGCCGATTGTAAAATGCAACATAAACGCCGTAAATATGTTCAACGAGACGGTCCAAGGACCGTTTTATTGCGTGCAATCGATACCTTTGCATTTGCGCAGTTGCTTCAATAAGCCCACGAATTCATTTCAGAAATTTTCCCGGATGTTGTTATATATTTGTTATTAAATTCTAATGTTTTTATGTATTTCAGTAAAGATAGGCAACTTCTGTGGATATGTAGAGACAGACTAAAGCAAAAAATGAGCAGACTAAAAATAACTCGAAATTCTTATAAAATTCTTTTATACAACTCATCATTTTTCTTGATACATCCATATTAAATTAAATTAATTGTGTAATTAAGAGAATCTAACATTGCTTTCTTTGTAAAGTTAGTTTTTTTTACGAGCAATGTATTATTCTAATCATATGATTTCTTGTTAAAATAAGTTTGAGTTAGTAACATTGGAAAGAGTAGAAAACTTTCTTTTAAATTTTTTCTCTCTAAATTAATTAGTAGGCGTATTACTACGTGATTTATTGAAACACATAAAATTACATATTCGTGCTACGTTTCTTCTTAGAATTAATTTAATTTTTCATGAGGAATTGCACGCATCATACTTTCTACGATAAATTCAAAATTCTTAACCGGGTATGCTTAATGATAATATATATAATATATGTAAGATATGTAAATGTCCACCTTCGGCTCTCCGATGTGATCAAGAAATCTGTCACGCTACTTTAAAGACTTTTATTTAATATAAAAATATATAATAATTACAAATTATTAAGATTTACAAAGTAATATAAAAATTATTTTTAAAAAATGCTTTTCAAATTTTAACTTTAAAGACAAATATATCAGTAATTTTGCGTCATGGAAGGAAAAAAATTTTATCGGAAGTTATAGTATTATTTTTACCTGCTCTACATAAAACATTGTTGACTTTTATCTAAATGCATTATTGTTAATCCTTCATAATTGCTAATTCTTATAAAAAAATTTTTTAATATAAAGTTAATATTTTACTTACGTTCTAGTCGAATGCTCTTTTTCAATGTAGCTAGTTTACTCTTTCAATATATGCCAATTATAGTGAAATATTGTACTGATCGGCTTGGAGAAATCGCTCATCCGCAATAAAGGCGTGCCCTCGACCATAACTGAGAACGAACGAGCGCGTTTAAGCAACGTGGAGTAATTGCAGCGATAACCGAGCAGAGAGAACATTCGCGCGCCCTCGCCGCATTCGCCAAAAAGCAGGTGTACCGCAAATTAG